GAGGATGTTATTGGTTTTTATTGGATTGGAAAATTCTTAATCGATTGGAAAAAGGTTAGTACTTGATTAGATTATTTCCTCTATCTTTTTCATTAATTTTTTTTTTCCATTAATTTTTTGTATACATACTAGTTGTTAATTCTTTTCATTATTAATCCTAGTTGCTGATTAATTTATTGCTTATTATAAACTCTTATCGCTAAGATTTCTACCAACCAACGAGCTAGGAAGAAGCAATAAACACACAAAATCAGAGTTTATAACTAGTTTTCTTGAAACTAATGGCGCAAAAAATGCTATTGATTTTCCTATTGTTTGTGTTTCTAATCGTAATCAATTATTTTTTCTTTTGCAGGAGTTTCATCGACGAGAATCCTTACGATAGAAAACAAATGCAACCACACAGTTTGGCCAGTTATATTTTCATATAACTCACAAGTCTCCACCACGGGTTTTGCTCTCAGAAGAGGGGAGACGCGTGCAGTACACGCACCATCCTCTTGGTATGGTATTATCTCGGGTAGGACGCTTTGCTCAACCGATTCAGGAACTTCTCGTGCGCCACGGGAGATTGCAAATCCGGAAAATCGAATGTGCTGCCGAATATGGTTGGTCTCCAACAACTGTTTTTTTTTTGTTAAATTGTAAATATTCATTAATGAAAATGAAAAGTTCAGGAATTACAAATTGTTACTAGAACAAATTGGAACACCTAGAAGATTGATCCCATGGCAAAAGAGGTTAAAAAACATGGAAACAACATACAATCGGTACACTTTCGGAATTTTATGTTGTAAAACATTCAATCCCGAAAAAGTAGCGATACAGATCTTGCAATCTCCGGGAAATAGCCAAAAGACGGTTGATTATGAGAAGCATCATGAAAGGCTAGAGTGATGCCTACCACACTAAAGAAGCACGTTCATCCGGTAGCATGAACTAAAATCTAACGCAAGCCAAAGAGCCAACAAGCAGCGAGTGAAGGATGTCCTCTACACCCATTAAACGAAGCGCGTCACCAACCCTTTGAAACTTAAGCTAAAACTGAACTCCAAGACTACACTAACCAAAGAGAATCAAACACTTAGAAGCACCACCACTATCCCCTCTATAATGCATGATATCGCTTAACTTAACGAAAGAAGACTTCAGCCTTACTAGGTCCTCCAAAGCGAAGTCGAACACCACATAAAACACGACCAGAAACTGAACGTAACCCACCATCAAGCTATAACACGAGAAACAAGTAACGCTACCTTAACCCACACTAAGACCTCAAAAGGGGGCGTTGAAAGTGAAGAGAACCGGATCGAATGAAGATTACCGGAGACAGCGGTGGAGCTCACCACAACCACCACACAGTTTTCCACACTGGACCAAGACCTCCAAAAACAAGCTAACGACACCAATGGTTGAGCCGAGCAAAGCAAACCCCAAAGGAAGTAGACACGTAGCTAGTTCACCGGAGAGATCCTATTAGAGATCTTAAAGCCAACCTAAGAACCAGAGCAGCAGCTAACTCAGGCGAAAGCAGAACCTCCGTGAAGAACCCAAGGATGCTATTTTCGGAATCGCCTCCTAAGCCAGACTAAACGGGAATCGAGACTGAGAATCGGTCCCGACAGAGGGTGAATCGAATTCTTCACAAACGCTTGGCCATGACGAGCCACCGCATCGACCAAGCTAGATCGGAAATCGGAAACACGTCTCCACGACACAACCGCTAGCGAAGTACTCTTAAGAAGCTAGGTGGAAGTAGCGAGAGTCAACGGAGAATAAAAGGCGAGAGTCAACGGAGAATAATAGACAACTTCTGTTTTCTTTAGAATCGATTACGGAGGAACCAACAGCTACACAATCAGTGTCGAGTATGGTTACAACCTTCCTGTAATGGTTGTCCCATCGCAAAGTACCCCGACATGTCTAAGCTCGGGTTGCGCGGTTGACCTGAACAAGACATGTCCTCATGATCTTAAGGCATTCTCCGAGGGGTAAACAATCGCCTGCAAAAGCGCATGCGCGGGATTCAATACTCAAGAGACTTGTTGCACACGTTACTTCGAGAGTGCTTGTCCACTTGCTTATCTCTACAGTTATGGCGATAGTAATAGCACTTTCACATGCTCAACTCAACGGACTACGTTATCACGTTTTGCCCCTCTTCCATTCCCAACACCACCAGGTAAATTCCCGTAAATACCCCTATCGGACTTGCTTCTGCTCAGGGCTATAAATATCATTATGGATGATCCGGATCAATATGGACATGAGATACTAGAACTAGATTTCATTCTCTTTTTGTCTATTATATCTAACCAGTCGTTGAAACGCCTCTACTAGATGGCAACTAGTGCCTAGTGGTGTTTTTCTTCTTCTTAAAACTCAAAAC